CACACCCACACCAGTCTACAGTCTATACAATCATTGGTTCATCAACAGCAGCATGTTCTGGACCATCTTCACCTGAACAGAACCTGGAGATGTGAGAAAAGACAGAGGTGACGCCTGTGAAGACCATCACCCTCCTCTTCATATACACACACACACACATATATGTATACATATATATACAGATATATATGTATACATACACATATATACAGTATATACATATATAGAGTATATACACATATATACATATATATGTATACGTATATATGTGTATATACGTATACATATATACAGATATATATGTATACGTATATGTGTATATACGTATACATATATACAGATATATATGTATACGTATATATATGTGTATATATTCAGTTGAAGCGGCCGTGGAGCTGCTGGTGCACAGACGTTTGTAAACGAGGAGTCGAGTGTTTGACAGGAGGAGGAGACGCTGGTCTCTAACTGTGGTGAAACGTCACCACTGCTGCAAATACAGACAAACATAACCTGGGGGGTGGGGGGGTAAGCACGAGGAGGAGCACCCCATGGAAGAGTGTTCAAACCCTCAACCTTTAAATGTGGAATCAAACCCCCCCCCCCCCCCCGAGTGTCCTTTCTGCAGTGGGAGGGGGGCTGAGGGGCTGAGGCTCAACTGCTGGCTCCGGGTGTGTAGTGGCTTCAAGTAACAACAGCGAGTGTTTCGTAAGAGCAACATCGAGCACAATATTTAAGACTAAACTTGGAGAAAAAACAAACATTTGAACCAGTTGAAGTGTTTTCCTTAACGTATTAACCTAACCAGCCACTGGGGGCGACGTTCTCTAAAGACGTACGGTGTTGATCCGCAACGGTTGCACGTTTTTTCCATTTGCGTGGCTCTGGCCGGGACTAAAGTAGGGGACGACCCTGGGGGGGAACTTGTCTCTGTAGGTGTAGAGCCAGGACATGTCGTCGGCGTTGTAGAAGATGAGCAGACCTTTGGGGTAGTCCAGGTACACGCCCACCTTCTCCAGCTTGGTCTTGACGTTGAGGCGGGTCCAGGGCTCGGTGCAGGCGCTGTACTGGTTTCCGTCGTGCATGACGATGCAGTAGAAGCCTCGGCTGGGGCTGATCTGGATGCTGCCCTTGCGACTGACCGTCTCGTTGGCCACACCGATCATCCACTGGGTCTTCTCCGACACCATCACCTCCCAGTAATGGACCCCTGAGGCAAAGCCCTCGGCCCCCAGGACGGACACCTCCACGTCAAAGCGCCGCGGCGACTCCTGCAGCGGCTGAGGGTGGAGGTTCCCGTAGGCCACGATGGTACAGTCGTCTGAGAGGATCAGTCTTTGGTGGGCTGTGATGGGGTCAAGGGTCAGAGCTGCTGGTACTGATGAGAGAAGACAGAAGAGGGGGGGGGGGGGGGCAGCAGGGACCACAGCATCAGCGTCTGTTCAACATTCAAACTGGACCGGCTGGTATTTAAGAACCGGCTCATTTTGAAGTCAATACATTTGTTCACAGACTCC